ATTAAAAAAAAATAAACAAAAAGAAGAATAAAGAGGAGAAAAAAGGAAAAGATAACCATTAAGAACTTCTATTGGACCGGCCACAGCAGAGCAAAGGCTCCAAGTGAATAAAAAGTCTCTAACTCAGAAAAACGCTGAAAGGTGGCACAATATTTTATACACCACAGCAAGAGAGGCAGAGACAGTAACGGTTGCTCTTTAAGCTTATCGCCTTAGATTAATGGACAACATGGTTACAGTAAAATTGACGTGCTTATACTTTAAAAATGTCCTCTGACCCGAAGATGTACCACAATTGAGGATAAATTAGTAACGTTCAAGTCTTATGAGCATGCCTTCGTGCTAACCAAAGTCCATAACGATCTTAAAAAATAATATACTACGTCTTCTCATTTTATATTATATCACTTTAAATGAGGAAATATAACATACTACAAAATTTTAAATAATAGTTGCATAAATTATTTTTAAATTAAAAAATAAACTAACATTAGTTGGTATATTAACTTTATAATTGAGTATTTATTAATTACATAATAAATAATATTTTATAATTCTATTAAGTTTAACTAAATTTAAAGGTGCACTTATTACAATTAATTTAATTTAATTGGTGGTTATAAAATGGATTTGAAGAGGTATGATTAATTTATGATATATGCGTATGTTATATGATACATGCATGTGTTTTATGCAAGCATGTATGCGTTTTAGAAGGTAATTTTAGAAGATATGTTTTAACATACCAACACACTTCTATAATTGTATTAGATTGCGGGTTAAGAGAGAAAGAGGATAAAAATATAATTTGTCTTCGTAGAAACATGCACATGAAGTGAAGGAAAATGATTAAAAGGTAACAAGTAAGATGAAACAGAGCACAGTGATAAAAGAGGAAACTAAATTTGACTGAACCCTTCAAATGTAAATCTATAAGTTTGCAACCTATCAAAAGAGAATCAAAAAAATTTGATGCGTTGTTCAAAAGCTATCGAAGCTCACAATCCTTGACGCATACTTCTTTATATCAATTTGTTTATGATCAAATTCCTTTAAATTTATATAGAAATACATGCTAGAGTAGGGTTATGTGTCCTTGAACATCCAATACATTTTATATAATATTTTGAATATTAATTAAGTTTTATTGTTGCACATATTGTTGGGTATCTTTTATATGATTGTTATATAATCCTTAGAACTTATTTTGTTCGATCATGCACTGTGATGATCACTTACTTGGAGATATGATGTAACTAAGATGTTTCTCAAATTTGTGCTTAACCTATAACTAGTATATGATAGCTTTGATATAACAGGTTATTACGCATGATACCAACATATGAGATGTGGTGGTGGGTCTCAGCTACCAGGAATGAAGATTCCCTAGGTGTATGTCATAAGCGCATATTGTAATATGTATAGCACTAGACCACATTTGGATTCTCTAGAGAGAGTCACCTAAGAGATAGAGAATTCGAATTGTTACATGGTCCATTTGGTTTGATAATATTATCATTTTTTTATATGATAGTTTAGTATGCTTTGATATGATGGTCAAGCTTATTTTACAAGTATCATACAACTTGAAATGTTATGTTACTAGATTTTATTTAGAAAAATGATGGATATCTAGATAAGATCAATTATGCTAGTTTTGATGAGTTAATTTATTATGCATATCTCATGAAGGTGTTAAATTCCCATCGACGTGTGGTTTTGAAAATTATTTTCCAAAATTCATTTTCTTATAAAAATAAAATATTTTCATATTTTAAAATATTTTTTATTTATATTCATGAGGATTATAATTTTAGGCATGAGCAAATAGGTGATTTGTCCTGCTCAATAAAGTTGCCTAAAGTAAATCGATACTAGAGATAATATTATTCATGAATATTTAATCTCATCTTATGGAAGAGCTTTTTATTAACAGTTGGTCGGATAGGGATTTGATTGTTAAATTTAACTTATTAATTTGATTAATAATTGGTTCTCGATATAGGACCTAATTGGTCTCATTGATGTCATTAGAAGAGATTTATATGTAACAAGTTCTATTTTATCTTTAATTATTATGGATAGAGTTTTAAACAATTAAGAATTATTTAAAATTATAATGTATATGGCTAGTCTAATCCTATATATAGGGTTCATATGTGGCCTTATGAAACATAGAAGAACAAAAGAAAAATAAAAAAATTAAGAATCTATCTCTCAATATTGCTCCTTTTTGGTGACCGCTCTTCATCACAATCATGGACACAAATGTGACCTTCAAAGACGCATCCTCTAAGGCCACCTGATAGCCTGCTGCCTCCAAAACTCTAAATGAAATGATGTTCTTCTTCAACTGCGGAACGAATCTCACTTCATCTAACTCCCGAATCACCACGTCACACATCCTAATACGAACGATATTGATACCACCAATAGGGCATTCATGATCATTACCCATGAGTACGACATCCCCTCTTTCTAATTCCTCAAAGTTGGAAAATCAATCCCTCCTAGGACAAATATGGTAAGAAGCACCCGAATCTAACATCTACTCTGTAGATTCGACAACACAAACTAACGGTAGTATAGGGCACGAATAGCCCGAAGAATTCGAATCTGAATTGTCGCTACTAGTCTTGGCAACATTCATCTCTGAAGCTTGAATAGATTTTTCCTTATTCTTCCCGACTTGATCTGTCAACTTTGGGCATTCGACTTTTCAATGTTCATCTTCTTTACAAAAGACACACTGATTCTTACCAACTGCAACGTGTGCTCCTTTAGACTATGATCTCCTACTACAGTTTGGACTCTTTCCTCTTGCGACCAATGCCCCCGTTACTGTATCAATCGAAGTCTCATTATCCTTCTTCCGAAACTTATAATTCACAAGTGCAGCAGTGACCTCACTATACGAAAGAGATGACTTCCCATTAATAAGAGTAAGAACGAAGGTCTTATATTCTTCGTCGGGTAAGGAACTCAACAATAACAACGCATTGTCCTCATCTTCAATCATAATATCTACATTCGTCAAATCCGTAAGAAGCTTCGTGTAGTTGTTCATATGATCGCCAATGGAGGTTCTCTTCTTTAATTGGAAGCAATAAAGTCTCTTCTTCAAATGCAAGCGGTTTTCCACACTCTTTTTCAAATACTTACCGTCTAAGATCTCTCAAATCTTCTTTGCCGAAGTCTCATTGATCACATCATATTTCAAATCTTGTGTTAAACAAGACCTAATCATACCACACGCCGTTCGATGCATCTTCTTCTAAACCTTCTCCTCAATTTCGTTTGGTTTTCCATCCAACTCCAAAGTATCCTCCAAATTTTGCTCGTTGAGCGCATTCAAGACTTTACATCTCCAAAGACCAAAATTATTAGTACCGTTAAATTTCTTCATATCTATCTTCATAGAGTGAATATTCAAACTTTGAACCGTCTTTACGCCAGAAGTACTCTCCACAACTCATTCTTTCTCGGCCATCTTTCTCAAAGCACCAACAAATCAATGAGGAACAAATGAAGAATAGATCCAAACTAAAAAAGAGAGATTTTTATACGTCCAAGTGAAACCCTAATAAGATCCTCCGAAAGATCTCAACCCCACACGACAGAAATGATATCCACAATAGTAAAAATTCCACATTTATCACCAACTAAAACCCTAGACGAGCTTCCAAAGCGATCTACTCCTCCACCTAGCCCAAGCGTAGCTAAATATCTGATACCACTTGTTGTGCGTGACGACCAAACTGATGGGATACCAAGAACAAATACCAATGCTGAGAGAGAAGTCCAAACAATCCAAAATAACGGTACAAACACTATCAAACGAATTTTACATGGTTCGACAAGTTACCTATGTCCACGGGGCAAGAAGGGGATGAGTTTTCACTAATAGAGAAGAAGAGTACAAATAGAGATTACAAATCTACAAACTAATCTCTCACATAAAGCTCTCAATCTCTTAAACAAAACCCTAACCAATAGCTCCAGAAAACTCTCTTTTTCTGTGCTCCAAATATCTCCAATAATCAACTGCAGGATTCGGCGGTCGACCACGACAGTCGACCGCACCCAACTCCAGACTCTCGGGTTTGATTACATGGTTTGGCGGTCAACAGCGACGGTCGACCGCACCAAGCCCTAAATCATACCAGGATCTGTGCACGTATTCGGTCGACCGACCTAGCACCGCGGTCGACCGAACAACACCAAACTTGATCCCTGGTTTCCAAACCTGTTCTTTTCCAATTTCTTCGCCAATTCTACATGGTTGATGTGTCGCTAACGTGTCATAAATTTAACCTATCAACTATGATCTGCATATGTATGATCATATGTATGATGATTAGAGCTGTGATGACCTATCTTTCTCTAGCTCATATGCAAAGGATATATTAACAACCTTCTCATCAAAAGCTTTTACAGAATTTTCAAGAATTTACAAACTCTCCAGAAAATTTTAGAGTATTCCCAATCACAAAAAACTTAAATCGAGTGATCATTAACAAACAATGCATTCTACACCGAATACATGCAATCAACTCTCTAATTGCAGTCCAACACAAATTAGTAGTTTCCCCTTATCATATCTGCAATATGTTTTGTCACTAATCACCTCATTGAAAAGCTAAGAAAAATCTCACAATTTTAAGATATCTCCTCAAATCTGGAGTCATTTTGATTCTATGTCAATTACAAAAACTCTACAATTATGAACTAACAATGCATGTCAATCTAACATTGCACGTGTCACAAGATAAGTAGTTCAGTTCTAAAAGAACAAGTGTATATTAATCTCTATCAACCCAACAAAAAACGTTACAATTTGTGTTATGTATCTCTCTACAACATCTACAAAAAATTGAATGAATGAATCCTCCTCATCCTTAACCTGTACATACAAAGAACGTCTACTTCTACACAACTAGTTGTTTAAGGCAACTACTATGTGCACTTGCCCCCGAAATTGGGCTCCCTAAATTCAATTGAGCCACCGCCTCGCTTCTAGGAGACAAATTCACTTGCTCCAATGCTCGAAAACGAAGCTCTGAGGGTGAATCCCTCACACATCCAATCCTAGGTCCAGCTCCTGTACTCCATTTATAAGAAAGTTGTTTTCCTAACTGAACTGATAATGTTGGATTCCTGAATTTTCTTCGAAGACTGAGTTGGCTTGCGACCTGTGAATCTTCTGAATCATCCGAAACCTCCGTTGTCTCGTTCTTTGTTTCCTCCTCCTCTCCTTCGCTCTCCTCTGAGTCATCACTTGGTATTTTGTTATCTTGATCTCTTTCTTCCTCTTGGGATTTGGATTTATTGAATGAGTCGGAGAGCTGTAGCGTGTTAATTGTTGGCTCACTTTGCTCAGGGTTTGTTCTTAAGTCAAGTTCAGAGCGGGATGGTCTTAGCGAGCCATAGGTATCTTCTTCTCCTTCAACCGGACTTGTCTGTTTAAATTGAAGGATGTAATGAAATGAGTTAGCTTTCGAATCATTGTGTTCTCAAGGGTTGTAAGTAACAGCTTATGGAATAGTATTACTGACCTTAACATCAGCAAGATCGACGTTCTTTGACTGAAGATAGGCGACTAATTCTTGGAAGTTCTCTTCAGTTGGACGATAATGCCCACTGTGTGGCCATATAGCCTGCGAAGAAAAATACATGAATCATTAATAACAAATTCAAGGAATTGACATATCTTTGAATTTTTTTATAGAATTAATAATAAAAAATGCTCTATTTTTACCTTAAGAATCCCATTTTGTGCTTCTAATCTTCCAGCAGCTGATGTAGCTCCTCCAGCAAGAAAACTTGAGTGCTGAAATGTGCCTTTCTTCTTCTGCAATAAGCCCCATAACTATCATCGGTACTCTAAGTTTGTCGATCTTAAAGTATGTCAAAATTCTTATTGATATAGAAGAAATTTACCTGGCCAACATATAAGTTCTTCGATGTGCTAAGAACAAAGATCCACTTTGAGTTTGAAGATGTCTCAGTTGTGTCAAGAACCTCCCCACTTTTCTTGTACAATAATTTCCCATCTTCAACTATGACTTCATAGACCTCTCTTTCTTTCTATAACAAGAATATCTTCGAATTAGACCTAATCGATAAATTTCTATGTATGAAGAACTGTTAACAGATTGAGAGGCTTACTGGTCCTAAATACTTGATACACTGCTGTTGAAGCTTTGCTCTGGGGCATTTATCATCAAGGCTAACTTCTCTTCCTTCTCCAACATCGAGCCTAGAGATTCATACTAACTAGTTTAGAACAAATCAAACATGAACTTTAAATTTATTATATAAGGTGTGATTTGAAATTTACCAATAGAAGAAGGGTTGTTTGCTCTCACAACGCAACCAACGGTCATAATAAAAGTGTAGATTGTGACCATAACGATGACGAGGGTCAATCTATCCACAAAACATTAACAAAATGGACTTTAGCATCTCATTCAATGCTTAGAGTAACCCCATATACCATAAAAAAGTTCTGAAATTTGCAAGACTTACTGCCTCGAGCCAATGTTGCAAAGCTAGTTTTCGAGCCTTTTTATCCTTTGATAGGCCTTGTCCTACCTGTATATTAAAATTATGAAACCAAAATTACAACTAAAGTTTTTTTTTTTTGAGAGAGAAAGGATGGATTACCAAAATAGTAATCCAGCCAGCTAAATTACAACTAAAGTTCCTTTCATATAACACAATGAGACTATATTCTTCTTCATTGTAGAAGATCGTACCTTAGCAGCTCGAGATTTCGCCCTGGCCCATTTCGACAAAGCAGATTCAGGCTTCTCAACGTCAAAGAAAGACACTGAACTCCTCTTCAGCATAGCAAAATCTAGCAACTTCCACCTAAATTCACCATCAAAATTTACAAAATTAGCAATGACCTTCGGTCAACAATGCACAATAAGAGAAAAAAGAACTAGTTTTAATATTTATACCATCTTTGCTCAACAAGAACAGCACAATCTGCGAGCTGTCTCCTCGTCCGGAAACTCTTATAAACCTTCTGCAATTTCAGAGCAGCTTCATGCTTCGGGCTCCTCGGCTCACTAACCTTTTCAGGCGAACGAGCAAATCTACTAATCTTTGCTGGGCTTGGTTTGTTCATTCTTTCATCAATCTGAGATGTTTCCTTTTCGCTGTCTCTCTTATTGAAGCTCAGAGATCTCTTGATAAGGAGCTTGCCAGAGCCCCAAGCTTTGAGCTTTGACTCTCTGCCATTGAAACTGAGGGATCTAAGTGAGGACTTGATGTAGCCATTGCCAAAGCTAAGAGATTTCAATAGAGCATCAAGGCTCTCATCCAATGAATCAAAACCACAACTTGGGCAAGACAATGTCAACCCCATTTGTGATTTATGTTGAAGATAACTCCCTTTTCCTATATTATATAGAGAAATAAAATGGAAAATTTAATTTGTGGGTTTTGTTTAAAGACGATACGGTATCTAGATAACCATCACAAATGATCAAAACCCATGTCAAAGAAATCGTACAAATGAAGGAAAAGGGCTCACCTTCGCTTGTTTTCTTGAGATTATTGAATGGGTCAGGGGCCTTTTTGTGATGTTCTCTTTAACTATATAAAAAAGAAAGAGAAGGAGATCGAAAGAGAAGAGGGTTTGTTGTTCTGTTGGTGATGAAGAAACAATTGTGAATCTGAGGAGTTTAAATAGAGGGGAGGCTGAAGAGGACGGTGGAGCAGTCCCCATTTTTCCCAACCACGTGTTGCTGTTGAAGTTCAAAGCTCGATCAAAATTGCTGCAGTTACCCTCACACGGATTCTGAAATTTTATATATTTTTGGAGACAGTGTTTTTTTTTAAATTTTGGTTTCTGATTTAAGTTATGTAACCAAGTATTTTGTTCTGCTTTTGGTTAGGTATTATCTTTTTTTTCCCCCTTGAGGAAATTGTTGGGGAGTAAATGGAAAACAAACATTTCATGGGTCTAAATTAAGGTTAAGTTTGATTGTTTGTTAGTGTAGCTGCAGAGTAGTTTGACCTGTTGTTTGTTTGAGTAGCATGCATGCATGTAGATGACATTTTCTATGAAATTATATATTGTGAAAGTAAAATTAAATTCTTATTAGGTATTTGAAATGGGGGCGGGACGGGTGGGGGCCTGCGCCCGCACCCGGCCGGCAGTGGGGTGTAGCCCGGTCCGTGCAGAGCAGGCGACTTGGGGACGTGTGTAGGAGAGTAACGGGGATACAAGCAGTCATCCATTCGCACCAACTGGGGGTGAGACACCACCAGCTGGTTGAGAATACCGGCTATAATTGTTATGGTCTCATTATTGCAGAACTTTTCAAATTTTTAGACAAAATGCGTGTTTTTTTTTTAACTTTGGGCAATTTGGAATGTCAATTCTTTTCGTTGGTCAAGAATAACGCCTAGAGATCCTCTACATTATTTTTCACAGATAATATCAATAGACTCCATGAATTATATTATTTATTTAAATTATACAAAAAAAGCTAATTGGGGGATCCACCAAAATAAACCCAATACTCAGAAATAACTCTTTGGTTCATCCTACCTTTTCCTATTTCTAATTGAACCCTATTGAATTGGCAAAGTGCAGCTCTTTTTGGTCCAGCCTTCATTTTTAGCATAATCTTTTACGAGAATAAATGCATGAAGGTCTTATTTATGGACTGGATAAGATTCAACAGTCTTTAACTTTGAATATGAGAAGGGCTGAGAAAAATAAAGCAATATATAAAGGCAACACAGAGATAAGTGTTCAAATAAAATAACACTTCTATTATGATCGAAATTAGAAACTAGTTGATCGAAATTAGAAAGGATAAATAGACTTAGATAAACTGAACCCTAAAATGAATTGAGTGATATATACATTGTTAATTAATAGTTTGATTAATGGTTCATCAAATTGCGCTGCGTGCAAATTGGAGCAAAAGAGACTTGATGTCTAGTACTTTCAGATGTAATTTCAACACTGATGATTGAAAAAAGATAAACATGCTCACATAAAGCAAAAAAGAAAAATGAATTTTTAATGGACTATCTTTTTGTCTAATTAACACTTAAAACACCTTATGTTTTATCCTAGCTTGCACTTATATATTATTAATAGCACTTGTATATCTTGAAGTTTTAAAATTAACACATTAGTATTTTTTTTTTATACAAACTTGAGAATATTCCTTCGAATATTCCAATCTGACACATGGATTCTAATTTTAGAGCTTTGTTTATCGATTTTACTATTAAACTTATTCCATTCTATTTAAAGATATGATTGGGGCACGTTAAAATAGGATTATGGTAAATTTTATAGTTAACAATTGTTAAAGGTTAACATGTGTTAATGTGACAATATTATGACATTTGCCTAACATGTTAGAACGTAGTTCGTACAATATCTATTGTTTGAGTAATAAAAACTCTTATTTCTTACCGGTGATTATTTCTGATGATATATTTTAGGTATAAACAAGTACATGAAAGATATGAGGCGAAACGATGCAAAAAATCAACATTCATATTGAATTTAGCCATCACTCCTACGATGGTCATGAGGATACCATCGATGATCATGAGTCAATCAATAGACTACAATGTTAGGAATTTTAATGCCTAAATCCCTAATTGCAACAGAAACGCAGAATAGAAAAGTACACCAAGATTTAACGAGGTTCGGCAACTGCCTACGTCCTCGGGAGCCACACAGATAATTTCTTATTAATTAAACAAGAAATTACAATTTAGGAGCGTATCTCAAAACTGAGATTTCTCAGATAAACACTGTAGCTACAGTGTTAATAATCAAAGGGTATGAACCCCTTTCAATTCTCAACTTGAGAATAAATGATACCCCACAATTAAACCCTCTTTAATTCTCTCTCTCTCTCCTTTTAAATCCCCTCTCTCTCTCTCAAAATCGCGTTGAGAGCTGGAGAAAAATCGCCTCTGCGATTTTAGGGCAGCCGCCAATGGATTAGCGGAGGCGTTTAACAAGACGATCATCAAGATCTTGTCAAAGCTCGTGAAGACCAATAAACGAGACTGGGACGATAAACTCGGTGAAGCACTCTGGGCTTATCGCACCACCATACGCACGCCTACGGGAGCTACCCCGTATTCGCTGGTATACGGATGTGAAGCTGTGCTACCGCTGGAAATTCAGATTCCGTCCCTTCGGATCGCCCTCGCAACGGAGATGACGACGGAGGAACAACATCAGAAGCGTCTCGAAGAGCTCGAGAGGCTGGATGAAAAGCGTTTGGAGGCTCAACAACACATCGAGTTTTACCAAGCCAGGATGTCAAGGGCTTTTAACAAAAGAGTCCGACAGAGAAGCTTCAAGGAAGGAGATCTGGTCCTCGCTGCTCGCCGACCAATAATTCTCACCTCCAAGAAGAAAGGTAAATTCGAACCCAAATGGGAAGGACCGTTTGTAATAGACACAGTCTATTCAAACGGCGCATATCGCCTGATTACTCAAGAGGGCGCCAGGCAATTAATGCCAATAAATGGGAAGTTCCTGAAAAAGTACTATCCCTAGTACATTCAGGATAACTCATTTACCGGGAAGTTCCTCGAAGAATATTACACTTAATATTCTAGAGGATAACCCAAAATCATTGTCACCACCAAAATCCCTCACTGATCAATTTCAATTGACAGTGAGTCCACCAAAAATGTTTTTCTGGCCCTCTTGATTCTCTCCATGAGCAAGAGGTCCACTTTCAGTTCGGAGTCCCTTTTCGATAAACGAAAGAACTCCTTCCCTTTTTCTCTTTGGTTAAACCTTGTTCATGGTTATAACCGGAGTTGAAAATTCCACTTCGATAAACGAAGAACCCATTTTCAGTTTAGATAACTCATCCTATAAAAGGCAAGTTTATCTAAATTTTCCAGATTCTCGGAGTGGACACCCCACTTCTAGTTTCTTCTTCGCTGGAAATAGAATATAAAATTCTTCCTTTCCAGGATCAGGGAATAGAATATAAAATTCTTCCTTCCTTGTTTTCGGGTTCGCCTTCACCCTAAAAGAAGACCGGGAAATAGAATATAAAATTCTTCCTTTCCCGCACCAACCTTTTCTAAGAATCTATCAATCTAGGATTCATCCTAGGAAGTTTATCCCGAATCCTAAGCAGGGATAAGTCTGCGCCTAACACGCGCTGCCGGTTTAGTCTTTTTCCGCACAAAAAGACACCAGAGTCTGATTCTGGGGTATTTTATCCTGAAACCTAAGCAAGGATAAGTCTGCGCTTAACCTGCGCTGCCGGTTAGTTCTTAACCGTTAAAAAGAACACTCGTCCGCATATTCAACATTGCGGCAGGTTGTTATTAATAACACCAAAATCCATGCCTTACACGCATGGGGAATGTCATCCTGAATCCTAAGAAGGGATATGCCGACGCCTAACACGCGTCGCCGGTTTAGTCTTTTTCCGAACAAAAAGACACCAGAGTCCGATTCTGGGGTATTTTATCCCGAAGCCTAAGTAGGGATAAAGTCAACACCTAACACGTGTTGCCGGGTAGCCTATTCCCGTAACAATGGCGAAGTCTATGTATTCGACATCATAGCACGAAGTCTAAGGGAGTTCATTCCCTTAGCACAACGTTACATGCGGAACGGATTTAGACAATCCGCATGCTAGCCCGACTCAAACGGTAGTCGGTAAAGGCTAATCAAACCCGTTGAAGGCTGGGGGTTAGCCAAAAATCCTAAAGTCAACACCTAACACGTGTCGCCGGGTAGCCTATTCCCGTAACAATGGCGAAGTCTATGTATTCGACATCATAGCACGAAGTCTAAGAGAATTCATTCTCTTAGCACAACGTTACATGCGAACGGAGTTAGACAATCCGCATGCTAGCCCGACTCAAACGGTAGTCGGTAAAGGCTAATCAAACCCGTTGAAGGCTGGGGGTTAGCCAAAAATCCTAAAGTCAACACCTAACACGTGTCGCCGGGTAGCCTATTCCCGTAACAATGGCGAAGTCTATGTATTCGACATCATAGCACGAAGTCTAAGGGAGTTCATTCCCTTAGCACAACGTTACATGCGGAACGGATTCCGACAATCCGCATGCTAGCCCGACTCAAACGGTAGTCGGTAAAGGCTAATCAAACCCGTTGAAGGCTGGGGGTTTGCCAAAAATTCCATGAGTATTATGGTCAATCATTTCAAACGAAGTGAGGAATCATAATAAAGATAAAGATAAATCAGTTCCATTAAAGAGAATCAAATGTCAAGGTTTTCAGCAAATAAAATCATACATCAAGCCCATGGCTAAGAACCTGCTGACTGAATTCAGACAGCTTCTCATCATAAGAGCGTCTAAGCTCCTCCTGCAACTCAGCTCTGACAGACTCTTCGTTCGCGGCTAAAGTCCTCACAGCAACCTCCTCTGTCTCAGCCAGTGTCTGCTTCAAGGACTTCAGCTCATCAGATAAAGCAGCATGTGCTTGCTGATTTTGCATCTTTGCGTCTTCCTTCTCACGGAGTTCTCGTCGGAGCTGATCTATCTGAGAATCAAGCTCCTCAAGGGAAGATGATCTAGTGGCAAGATCAGCCTCAACTCGATCTATGCGGCCCCGCTGCACCTGAATCTCGAGCTCGGCAACCATCCGAGTACTGCGCCATGTCTGTAAGCGAGCATCCAACTCGGCAGCAACGAATGAAGAGGCACCTGTATCCCGGAGCTCATGAAACATCTGAAGCTCACGCTCTAAGCGATCAAGGTCATCAACCATA